TTAAGTATCTTTAAAAATATTTTATGTATTAATTTTTTTATATTTATTATTTATGGTTAAAATGTTTTTTACTCAATTTTTGCATACTTTTTAGCACATTTAAGAAAATTGGGTTGTGATTTTATTTATCATATTTATTTATTAATAAATTTATTCTTTAAATTTAAGAAAAAAAGAAGAAAAAATCATAATGTATTGACATTTTTTTTGGTTTCTCATTCGGTATCCGGGTTTTGCCCTGATTACTCCGGACTCGATCAGCTGTGGCGCACCAAAATGGTGGATGGGTCTTCCAACGAAGGCTGCTGCGTACACAAGATTTCGAACTCGAAACCTTACTTAAATTAGAACAAACCGCTTGCCATTTGATCCAACCCCTCGTTGGTATAATGTATTGACATTAAAAATGTTACAAGAACATTCAATTATAATTTTTAAATATATGAGGTATCTTGTGAAATTTAATTTTATTAATTTATTATGTCACTATTATTAGACATTTTATTATTTTTAATATATAAATATTTTAATTTTTCCTTTCCTCAATTAAGAAATATTTCACGTATTAATTTATTAAAAATATTTAAAATTTTTTATTATAAGAATTTTTTAATTTATAATTTTTAAAATACATATTAAACATACAATTATTATATTTATTATTATTATTACACATAAAAAAATAAAATTTATTAAAATTTATTAATTATATAATTAAAATATACTAAATGATATTGATATTAAAAATAAAATTTATTTTTATAAATTTTCTACCACCCAATGACAAAAAAAAATATAACAAATACATTCTCATAATAATTTCTTCTTCTTCTTTTTTTAACCCTTAATTTTTTTTTTCTCACAGCAAATAAAACTGAAAAAAAAAAAACAAGGGAAAAAAACTGAAGCTGAACCTGAGCTTGAACTAGTCGTACAGGCGCCCAAGACATTCAGACAGATCCCCGATCCACAGAGTTTCAATTTCCTCTGCCCTTTTTGCGATCTCGTCCAAAACCTCGGAATTTCAGACGGAGATAGTTCGGGATAGACGATGAGGAATACTAACGTGAGCCGGGCGGCGATACTCCGGCCGTTGTCTCTGTTGTTATTGTGGGTTTGGAGCTCTGTTCCGGTGGGTGAGGCAATCTGGTTAAGTCTTCCCCAGTCCGACACCAAGTGCGTCTCCGAGGAAATCCAGAACAACGTTGTTGTCTTGGCCGACTATGTCGTCATCTCCGAGCATCATGATCACCTCCCCACCGTCTCCGTTAAGGTGCAAAGTTTCCAACTTTCCCTTCTATCTTTGCTGTTTCGATCTATTGGTGTTAGACTATTTTAGGGTTTTCCTTTTCGGTTAATGAATAAGCCTAAAGAGTTTGTCTTGGCAAGTGCATGATTCATTATGTAATCAGCTTGTTGGCTGATTAATCTTGATTGATTGCTTGTAGTGACAATTTGATTTTGAAAATGCATTGATAGTAACTATTGATGAGCATGAGACGGCTGTAATTCGATAATTCGAGTGCTTAGATTAGGTTTACTGGTTTTTCGATTTCTTTTGGAGCTGGCATGTTTGGTAGTTTTGAAAGAGAAGGGTTGGGATTAGGAGGTTGATTGGTGGCTGCATCTATTAAGTCAACAGCATGAGGTAATTTACTAATATCAGCATCGAATTTACAAGCTGCTGTCAAATACACAGATAAATGCCTGCCTGCGATGTCATTTCCGTATTTAAGAACAACATAATCACTGGTTGAATGCACAATGCAATTGACATTTAGGATTAGATTTAAAAGTGTACCTTATACTCGTGTAACATGTCATGTGGACGACCTCAAGTTTATTAAGCTGAAAAGCACCCTATAGCATATACCCTATGTATTGGAAGTAATCCTTTGGTTTGGTTTGGTTTGGTTTGGTTTGCTTAACATCAGAAAATTCAAAATGAGATAGGGCATGATCTCTCTATCTCAATGTCTCTGCTATTAATCATAAATATTATTCTTAGTGGGTGAATTTGTTTCTAAATGTTTTCTGAGATAAACCTTTTTCCTTGACATATTCAAAAAGGAGATCATGAGATAAGATAGCATTGTATTTCACTGTAAGTTAAGTTGCAATTATGCTGTTTATCTTTATTCTTATTTTATTTCTTAGAAGTTAACTTTAGTCATTCAATGGTGACCCAGTGGTGGACAAATTTAACATGCTCTTTTTTTTAAAAAAAAAAAAAAATTTCTTTCTGTTTCCCTGAAGAAATATCTAACCTAATAGTTTCTTTCATGTAGGTCACATCCCCTTATGGGAATAATCTTCATCACCAGGAGAATGTGACACATGGTCAATTTGCATTCACAACTCAGGAAGCTGGAAACTACGTGGCATGTTTCTGGTTGGATAGCCAATCTGAGATGAGTAAAGATGTTAGTATTAACATTGACTGGAAAACTGGAATTGCAGCTAAAGATTGGGAATCTGTTGCCAGAAAAGAGAAAATTGAGGTGAGTCCTAAAGTTTACATCTTCCCATTAATCATTCTGGAATTTAGGAAGGAACATATATTAATACCTTTTACAGAGGCAGAGTTTGACCGTAGGCTCCAATATATTTTTGAAATGACAGTAATTTTAGATTTTTTATTTTTACTTTTATTTTTATTTTTATTTTTTTTCTGGGGAGCAAGTTGCTTAGAACACTTTAACCATTTTTGAGCAAGTTCCTTAAAACACTTTAACCTTCATTTTACCATCGAGTCTGTGTGAAAAGGTCTTCTATGACCAGCATCTGTTACTCCTAATCCAGAAATTATATCTGTTGACTAACTTTTCACATGATTTGTCTTTTTTTTGCCCACCATTATACAAGTATTTGAATTTGCTAGTTTCACTGTGACAATGCAGAAGGAGCAATTGGGTGATAGAAAAGAGTCTGTTTTATTCTCAAAGCTCAGAATATTTTGTTGATTTGAACTGCACATGTTCTTAGAGTTTAATAAACCATAAGCATAGAATAGGTTTATTACTAAATGGGTAATGCCTGGAGTAAGGTATAGAAAATTAACTCTCTCGAGGTGCTCAAATTTGGAATTTGTCGGCACGTTTCATGTCATTATATTATTTCTTTCTTATTGCTTCATCATTCTTATCTCTACCAATGCATTGGCTCCATATGTAGGGTGTTGAGCTTGAGCTGAGGAAACTCGAAGGGGCAGTTGAAGCTATTCATGAGAATCTTCTCTATCTAAAAAACAGGTAAATGTTACGGCCCTTATGGGCACCAACTTTCCATTACCATGCATTCAAGAACTTATGGTCTTTCTTTTGAAGTCCCTAACATGTCCTCAATTTCTTTTATTTGATACACCAACAGAGAGGCAGAAATGAGGATTGTGAGCGAGGGAACAAATGCCAAAGTAGCATGGTGTAGTATCATGTCTTTGGCCATCTGCATTGGGGTTTCAGCTCTGCAAGTATTGCACTTGAAGCGATTCTTCCAAAAGAAGAAGCTTATTTAGATGTTGTCAATTAATGATGTCTCTAGCTAGAAGAGGAAATTCAAGAACTTTTTCTTCATTCTCTTTATTTATCCTTTTCACATTTACCATCTTACAGAGAACATTTTCCAGTCATATCATTGTATTTGAATTTGAACACACAAATTGCAACTTTATATGCCTATTTAACTCGGTCAAAAAATGGAATACATAACCCAGGGAAGTAAAAATTTGAAAGCATCTGTAATAAAGGGACATTTAGACTAACAAACAAGAGTTTAACCAAGTCAATACTCACTAATAAACTATTTGAATTCACTTTTTGAAAACAGTTGATAGTTGATATCTGATGATTAATAATTATTGATATTTATAATTTAAAATATTTAACTTATTTGATTAAAACTGATACTTATTTTTAATAAATCAAATCAAATGACCCTTAGTTTATAAATTTTAACTTGAAGTCAAGATCAATAATATGAACCTCTGAAATGCAAGCAAGTAACCAAGCTAGTAACCTTTTGATGTACTAAAAAAATAAAAAGAGACATTTAAGAATGATCAAAGTTTCAACAAAATTAGGAGTTAGACCTGTCAATTAGGAATTGAAAAGAATGAGTAACATCTCGAATCAGCTTTATTCTATTCGAACTATCTTACGGTTCTTGCATCTAAACCTGCAAATCTCATCAAAGAAATCATCTATGCTGCTATGGCTGTTCTTCATCTGGAGGATCCTTATAACCATTGCCTTCAGATTTCTCCCATACTTCAACAATGACTCAAGAGTGCTCATCTTCTGTTCAGCATTCAACGGTGATCTTATTGTGACCACAACCTCTTCTAGACATGGAATTACAAAGCCTGACTCCACCTGCAAGTACAGAAAGTGCACTTCCATGAGCATTTCAATTCAGTACATGCAATTCAGATGGTTAACTTTGAAGAGAAAGAATGATAACAGCAAAATATCTTCATCATACATTTTTCAGGCTGTTTTTCTGGCAAAGGGCAGCAAACATTGCTCCATGAATTTCAAACTTTTGTAGCTTTCGATGGTTATTGAAAAATTCAACAAAGTCAACTTCTGGAAAAGGTTGAAGCTCATCAAAATCCCCAGAGAACTCAACCTTCATGTAGAGATGCTTGACCTCACTTGCCCATTCAAGCATTTTGTTTATTGCATCCCAACTCCACTGGACCCCCCTCATGGCCAAGCATTCAAGGGCTGTAAGCTTCCCAAAGTCTACCATGTATACTCTACCTACAAGCATCAATGGGGCAAAATCATCAGTTATATTTTGAATTTACATGCCACCTATTTTACACTGGAAGCCACAAATATCATTGACAAAAAAAATTGTATATTATTAATTTTGGAAATAATAATTACCAGCATTATTAGAAATCATAAGGTTCTTCAAGCACCTAGTCTCTAGGACTCCAATTCGACTACAACCTTGTACCTCAAGGTGTCCAATTTTGGGGCATTTGAGAGAAAGGATGCAGTTACCAAATCCATAAAAATCCAGCTTACACTGCTCCAAGTGGGGCAACTCAATCGAAACGTATTTTAGTCCTTCGCAACTAAGGAGCAGCAAGTTAGTCAAATTAGGGCATGCCTTTAGTGCTGCAGACAACACAGGATCAGCCAATCTGGCACCAACTATTTCAAGGCTGTGAAGGCTTGAAAAAACATCCCACTTGGGCAATTGGGTCATTCGGACACCCCAGAGCTTTACAGACTCCAAATTCTTCACTGTGCTGATGCAATCCAGTTTTGAGGGGTTCTCAAGACTCATCTGTTGTTGAGCAATATTATCCATTCTGAGTTCCAAGTGTTTGAGTGATGAATGCAGCAGTGACAGCCATGAGGCAAGACCTGCACTAGTGAATGGGCTATACACGACAAGCTCCTCTAAACAAACAATTCTTGAAACCATTCTCCTGATTATGTCATCAGGATTGTCACTGCCAGAATGGCTGTCAAAGGAGTTGCGAGGGAAGTAAAGGCTTCTAATACAAGGCATTGACTCCTTCCATTTCTTTGACACACAATTACAAACTGCAATGTCCCTAGCAATGTTAATGTGTGACAAAATGCACTGAACAAGTGCATCAGGGAGAGAGTCCATTCTCTGAGGAAAATAATCGAACAGGTAAAATGTTAATTATCAATGCAGATCAACTCAAGCTGTCAAGCATAATGTAACCCCTTCTTTTTCCACGGAAACTATTTTTCCTTATGAAGGAAAATTTGGTTCAACTACTAAAGTTGAAGAGATATCAGCTCCAAATTCCTAAGTTCAAACATTTCTTTCTAGTTATTCCCCTTGTTTTCTTGGTTCTATAATATACTGCGATGATAAACTTTGTAGATATCTTATTCACTATTTGAACCAAAAAAAAGGGAAAAAAATAATAATAAACAGAATAAATCCTAAATGAAAATGGGATTAAAGTTAAAGAAGTACACACTAGCATGAATGCAGTCTGCTGAAAATTTAATACGAAACTACTGTGCATCAAATGCAAACTTCCATTCAAATCTTCATAGAAAACCAAATCTTCTATTTAGCTAAACATCAGCCTTTTTATCTTCATATGTAAAACTATAAAGTGAATTAAGAAAAAGGAAAGGCCTTTCATTGGAGAAAGCACAAGAAACACCAAATTAGCAAAAACCCAGTTGAAAAGTGAAAATTTTGAGACAAACCCAGGTGAACTCCAAAACAATTAGTTCAAGAAATGCATGAGCATCCATCCATGTATTATGTTCACTAGTTTCATGGATCAATGACAACCATTTTTGTATGCATCCAAAACATGCAAATCAAGCACATGAATAAACAACAAATGGGTTCAAAGAAGAGAGCTTACAGTTCGAATTTGAACGAAGGATATAGTTTAAGACGAACAGATCTGATATTTTTGTTTTCACGCACGGCATGAAGAAAAATAGAACGAAGAAAAAGAAAAGGGAAAATATAAAGCGCAATCGTAGTGTGGCGCGCGGTTGGGGTTTTACTGTTTTAGAGGGTTTAGGGGTTTTTCAAATTTTAAAAATTTTTAAATAAAGGTACTTAGAAGTTAGATCACGTTTCTCCACATAATTTTTGTACAGTTGTGCTTAAGAAAAACTTTTGTAAAAAATTTTTACTAAAAAGCTAATTTCGAAATTTATAAATTATATTGGATCTTAATTAATTTAAAATTTTAATTAATTTAAAATCTAATTAAATCGAACTTAAATGAAAAAAAATTTTAATATTTATTTTTTTATTTGTAAGATTTGATTTCGAGAGATTATTTAAAAGAACTTAAATCAATCGTACCCAATAAGACCACGAGGCAGTTGGTAAAAGAAAGAAAATAAATAGGACTTTTGCAAAACTAAAATTAGAGGAAGTTGTTTTGCGGCGCATCCTGTTGACATTTTAAAGGAGTGTTTGGTTTGGGTTTGTAGATAATTATTAATGGT